TTCAATTTATCTGTGGTATTTCTGTCTATGCTTGTAAATAAAAGAAGTGTCGCTGATGCTTACTTGAGATTCAATGCTCTTGCTTGTTTGGCAATTTACTGCCTTGTTGCACATTTGATTAACTCGACTAATACTGTAAATGAGAAACAGACTTTTAGCAGTAGCTACAGAACTTTCATGGTTTCAGTGACATGCTATGTCGCATGCATTTTAGCGCGCCTATTGAAAGATTGATGAAATTATGAGGAGGTCCACGCATTCATGCGACTCGCAGTGGATAACTGTTTTAACAGTTTTATTAGCCCTAAGGCAATGCTGCGATTGTCCATCCAACCCTTAGCTTTCGTTTTGTTCTGGCAGAACAGCTTGGGTGCGAAATGCAAGTTGCAAGATTTGATTTCATCGCATCACATTTGATTGACAGCGGAGATTTAGCATGGCCGTCTTCTTGCAAAGTTTAAATCGAGCCGAAACTCAAAGTCTAGAGAAGTCGCAATTGGATGCCAGCCAAGCAGAAGGTGAACTCGACTCATGCCTGTTTTATGTGTTGTGAAAGTCGATAATAGAGCTTAGGTAATGGTAGCTTAAAGCATAGCTTATCAGTTACGCTCTTTGATTTAGATTTGCGAGTACTTGAGGCTCCGCCTTAGTCACTCTTAACATCCAGAATGTTCTGAAAGCCTCCTCCCTATCTCTATGTCGAAAAGACAAGGTTCTGGGGCAAGAAAGTAACAAAGTTTGCATGCTCAAACGGATGAAAATTTTAAAAGCGCAAATGTACGGGAGGTTCGCAGGATTCGTTTAGCTTGAAATTTCAAATGGTTGGAAGGTTAAAGCACCATATCTGCGAACTTCGATGCGAGAAATGCAGCGAACTTAGACTTTTGCTTCGTTTGAAAGTTCTTTTGTAAATATATCATTTTTGATGCTTCTGAAGAGGGAGTCGTTGCTACTCTTCAAGGCACTTTAATAAAATCACTGTCTTGGTTTCTTTGCGAGGCGCACTTCTAAGATGCTCAACTGAAAGCTACTTGCTCTGGCTGCATACCAATGTTTTGATTTGTCGTGTTTAACTTAATTACGAACCCACGCAAACTCTGACGATACCGACAATGTCATCATTCTACAGTAACCGTATTTTCAACTTTGCGCCACTTCAAGGAGTACTTTCGTTAGGCAAAATTTCGGAGTTAGAAATGTGATGCAATTCCCTACTTTTGGACTGATCGCTATCATATGCTTACGATCAAGTTTTTTATCAAAGCGGGTACGGTTTTGATTCAAATTCAAATGGAGCTTTACCCGTTGGATGTAAGGTCATTCAAGTAGCATCTTCCGGCAGGACACTAGCTTCAAAACTTTTATTGTTACGTCTTTTTGTAAACCGCTTATCAAAGGCGGCTCTCAAAGAAGCTAGCGGTCTCATAAGCTAGTAACCTCATTAACTTCGCCAACAATAGGAAACCCGAAAGCATCTGTTGTACTTCGCTCGTTTGACTACTGCGTTCTCAGTCTCGGCCGATCAAGTAATAATATTATCATGGTCTGATGTAATTAACTTTGATGAATGTCTAAGTTCCAACTCCTTGAGTTAAATGTACGTATTATACTTGATATGACTACAGACCGCAAGGTTTTTATAAGCTTAATTTACCACTTTTTAACCAATCAATATACCGCCTTGGCGATGTACGCCATTCTTTCCTAAAAAAGCCAACTGTAATATACTGGAGTGTTTGAGTGTACAGGCGGGAAGCAATTTGGAATACTAATCTTATAATAATCACGTTTTTCATACCAGGCCCATCATCAATGCAAACAATGCCTCCGTGTGCCCACTCAACGGACTAGCCTGAGTTGTCACTGCGTTTTGTTATTAACATGCAAATTAAAAGCAGCGTCTCCTGCTACTTATCATTGTGTGCTTCGAGTTTGATCATTCTAATCCATATTTTATCATGCCCTTACAACAAAGTTGAGGAGTCGTTCAATATTCAGGCTATTCACGATATCGTATACCACGGAAGTAATCTGTCCCAGGTAGTTATTGCTTTTCTTTAATAAATTCAGTATGACCACCTGCACTTTCCCGGTCCTGTCCCAAGAACATTTATAGGACCGCTTCTTCTAGCTTTGCCCTGTTTATTCCTGCGTTCCCTTGTATCCAAGACCGCATTCCAGTCCATCAGTGAGATTCATTTTTGCAGTCGTATTTTTTTTTTGCAGTTCGTGCCGTTCTTGGCTTCCTCTTTCTTCACGCTATGAGTAAATTAGGCTCGGTTTTTAGGAAGCGGTTTCATCCCCTGTTCTACTTTCGATTCCTACTCATAACTTATACGCAATTTCACTTGGCGTTCTATTCTACAAGAACTTTACCGAATACATTTGCTCTGGTCACTAGTACGTTTTTATTTTTTACTGCTACGTCTTTACTTTGTTCTTAGTTTTTTAAAAGGCGCAATACTTGACCCGAAATTGTTACAAACTAAGGCAAATTTGCTAAAATTACCTAAGCAAGTTTCAATGTGAAGTGGATTCGATTACGTGGTTATATGTGGTTGCCTGCTTTTAATATAATTCGCGATATCTTGGGAAAAAAATATTCGTGGGTTGGTCCGTGCATATATATGCATACCCACGCACGGGTCGATTTCATCTATTAGCTTTCTTTTTTATTGATCCATTCCGCTCTTTCCTTGGTGATCCTCTGGTTTTATTTTGTCAAAGTCTACCCATGGTTTACGACAGCAGCGACGACCTTTTTTTGCTTTTCAGCAACTTACGCCCTAGTCTTCCTTTTGCGGGGTTCCGATTGTGAATTCATTATGCTTTCTGGTTTTGGAATCCTCGTTTTTCGCAGCGAATTATTACTGCTTTATGGTCCCCTACTTATTTTTGGGCTCTACCACAGTTTTGTCAAACTACGCCCCACTCTCATACTGGTTGGCCTCATGACTACTGTGGTTTCCTTAAGTAAGCGAGCAGAACATCCTGTCTTTTTCGAATGTACAGTATTCTTACCTTTATTGCACTTTCTACTGAAGCATGGTACATTGCTAACAACTCACTCTTTGCTAGTCCGGTCCATGAATCGTTTGATCTGAATTTTGTTGGTATACGTTTGATTTGAGTAAAGTTACTATCGGAATCTTCAAGACTATGCGTCTGTGGTTCAATCCTTACTGAGAAGAACTCATTTTTTTATAATTCGTGTGCTTAAGTTGTTGTGGAGCATTTGTAAGTGCTGCACCAAGGTATTATTTAATCGTTTTAGAAGCCATTAAATTAGTCTCAAAATTGATGCAGGCATGGGCTCTTCGTGATCTATCACCGACTTGATATTTGAAAATCTCAACAATGAACTCTTCATTCCTGTTTAAATTACGATACTTCTTTTTGTGGAAATTTTAGTGCTCACAGTCGTTTTTGACTCGTACTTTTGGCAACGTTGGCTCTGGCCTGAAGGAGAAGTGTTTTATTTCAACGTTATTGAAAATAAAAGCCATCTCTGGGGCGTAACCTTTTAAATACTTTGAATGTTTTGACTCCTGTTGTTTTTTTCTGGTCATTTTTGAAACTTCCCAATACCTTAACTGAAACTACGTCTTAACCAGATAATGCCTTTTTATTGGTACTTTCTGATCGCCTTGCCAAAATCTTTAATGACGACCACAGGTCTGGTCGTGTGTGCAAATCTACTTTTCATTATTGCATCTCGCACCCCTGAGCTGGCCGTCCGTGAAAATCATCCCTTGATGGGACTGGAAATCGTGGCTTTGGTTTTCATCACACTCTACTCCTTCCTTCCTCATAAAGAGCTGCGATTCATCATCTATACGATCCCAATCTTCAACCTCCTGGCTGCCTACTTTTGGAGCTATGTGTGCGTTCCTTGTAATTGTTAATATTTTGGATTTGTAAGTTCTGGGTTACCTAATTTCGTGATGAAAACACCGAATGCAGCAGGGCTGTAGAAGTTTTATCATATTTGCTGATTGAGAAATTTATGTGGCTTAATTTTTAGTGAAAACTGTCTGTACGTGTGTATCGACAAGATAACAGCCAAGGGACTCTCCTTGAAAGAGGATGAGAAGCATTCAAAATGGAATTTGACAGCGAAGCCTGCTTTTGTGTACCACATCTGTCGGATAGCGGTTTTTTTCTGCTATGCTAGTCTATTTGTTAATCTCTGCGCCTCTATTGGACTGCTCTTTGTTTCATCTCACAACTATCCTGGAGGTGAGGCAATCACCCGGCTAAACAAGTGGCCTCAATTGCGTGAAAAACGCGGTAAGCTTCCAGAAATTACTCCTAGTTACGTATATCAGCATAGTTAATCCTGGTGTCAATCTGGATTAACGTAAGCCCCTTTTGCCATTTTTTCGGCTGGACTTAATGGCTTCAATGGTATTTTTAACTGCAGAATCCGAGCTGAAGGGCTTGAGAAAAGGTCTGGGTTCTTAGAACACTTGTATAGCTCGATCATTTTACGTAAACTATGTCACATGAAGCTGGATGATGCACACATTTTAGTCACAGCGAACTAAAATAACCAAGCACTTGAGATGGAACGGGATTTAGCAAGATGTGTTTAGTTAACTTCAATGTTAGTTGAGGACGCTTTAGTCATGGCGCAACAACCGGATCTTTTAGCGATTATGATCATCTTATGTGTTGAGCTTCCTTCCTTCCATCTAATTAATTAAGCATAACGCATTTTTAACCAGGTTCAAGGTGTCACTTTTCAAACACTATGCAAATACACGTAGGCTGTTTGAGTTAGCCCCTTTCTTCACCCCTCACTCGAGCCAAGTGAGAGGGTCAATTTGCATTTCACTGAGGTGTTGAGAATATTTAATTACTTCGCTACATACCTGATGACTGGACTTCTGAACCTGCAGCCTGTCTACAGTTGATTTCACTATCCTCAGCAATCACGGGAGGATGTATTGCTTGCCAAGCTTTTGCCGCTTGCGTCACTCTCATAAGAAGCTGTTACCTTAGGCATGCTAAGGCTATATGGTCGATATTACTGGTTCTTACTACATCATAGCTCAGCTCGTACCAGCGGAACCGTTTAGTTTTTCCACTAGAATTTTGTGATGTGGAGCAAGTTATTTTAGTGCAGTCCGTTTTGCTTTATTGAAAAGTGCGCGATCAAAGGTGTACCACAGTGTTTAATTCCTAGTTAAGCGTTTGATTTTATCCTCTAATTCCTCTCACAAAAAATTGACCAGCATCACACATTCAATTTCTTACGTAGTCAGTGTCATTTCGACAGGCCTTTCGCCTTATTGTTCCCCGGCCATAATTATCTGCGCATTGATCGTTCAATGTCAATCCTTGCAGATGTGCACGTCTACATTGGTAATCTGGCGGCTCAGACAGGAGTTAGTCGATTTCAAGAAATTAATGACCACTGGACGTGAGTTTGAAGGGCCCTCCTTTAATCGTCATACCTCAATTTTATATGCTCCTTAACTTTCAATGTTTATGGACAAATATTATTCAGTATTCCCCTATTCCTTGAGATATACTGCTTTCCTGCCTAATGCCTACTGTATCTCGATGTGGTGTTTTATGCTTGCAATAAAAACAGCGCAGACTTTCAGAATCAAGCTTTTAGTAGACGAAGTAGATAATAATACAACCCAAATTTTTCCGTAGGTGAAAAACTGGTACTTTTGACCTATTGTCTTCAGACTGCCTTCACTGAGCATGTAATATGCCAGAGGCATTCAATGCTATCTTTACTTCGATCTTCTGACATATGATTTAAGCTTACATTATGCGATTTCCTTACCTTCTTCAATGTTTCCTTGATTTTTGTTTTAAGGTTTGAATAACTTGCTTAATGCCGTTGGGCTCACATTTTTGCAGACAGCCGCGTTGCTCGCTCTAACTTTTGTGGGCTTCGTTTTCATGACAAAATCCTTTTTCATGTTTTTTCCCTATTTTCTATGTTTTTTTTCCTTTTGAGTCTTGAAATTTTAATAATTAAACTGCTGCCTCCGTCTTGCTCATTCCGCTTCAAATAGACGTTTGTTCGTTTTTTATGGCTTTCAAGTCTGCAATTCATCTCAAGCCAATAAGCTAAGCGTATTTCATGTTTTACTGAAATAACGGTGTTCTATCGACTTTATATTAGCTTTCTTTCATACTACCACTATGAAACTTCATCCTACGCATCATTTCGCTTTTTTCGAACTCCTGTATACTTTTAGAGGTCATTGTGACCTTTTTGCACCTCCTCTTCGACGCAGCACCTAATGCACTACTGTATTCTGGTGGTATTCAATGCGTACTGTGAATGTCCCCTTCGTAGCGTGAGGACGATTGAGTTCACTAGTCAGCGTTTCTTTTTCTGTTTCTTTAATTAAAGCGATGTTCTTTGGCTAACCCTAATCACACTATACCTGCATTGTTAAAATTTGAATCGGGATGGAGATTTGTTTGTGGATGTTTTTAACCATGTGAAAACCCTGACTTGCGAATGGATCCTTCTATTCATCTGAAAATAGTACACCCCCTAGGTCGAACAAATTTCTTCCCCAATTACTTACAAAAACTGTCTTCATCTGAGTGAAATATCGTCCTTGTCTGCACAAAAATTCTGAAAGTAAATAAATAAGTTGTTCAATAAAGTACTGACCAACTCAGGCTTCGTAGCTCCAATTTTCTTTATCAAATTGTTTCCTGAGTCGTTCTTAAAATGCTAATCTCTTCAGATCTTGCGTCCCTTGTGGCGTTAGAATATTCACCTTGTTCCTCTACCTGCGTTTTTTAAAAGATTACTAACTTCTCCCCCAAAATTTAACCAAATTCACTGAAGGACTCCAAATGAATGAATGAGTTCGGCTGGTCATCTATATATTCCAATTTACATTAGGCAGAACTGTACCACACAATCGAATTTGCGTAGTGATTTTGAATTCCACAATAATGGTCTGTCAAATTTAGCCGCTCTCTTTCGACATCCTGGTGCGATACCTAACCATTCACCGAGGTTATTGCGTGGTGAAGTACTGCAAAATCACTGCTTCGTAACTTGGTCTTATGCTTGGAAAATTGAATAATCTCCAACTTTTCCTATGCTTAAGCTACAACAAGACTGAGAAAA